TGTGTAAATATATGTGTGTGTATATGTGTGTGTGTATATATACACACACAGAGAGAGAGGGCGATGTGTATGTCTTCCCCTCCCTCTCTCCCTCCCTCCCTCTCTGAGCCTACCGTTCTGAGGGGGCGGGAAGGCAGGGGTCGGGGGCGGCGGTGGGGGCGGCGGTGGGGCTGGGGGCTGCGGCCTGCTCCCTCCTCCTCCTCCTCCTCCTCCTCCTCCTCCTCCTGCTGCTGCTGCTGCCCCGGGTCCCGGCGGGGGCTCGGGCTCGACCTCCATGGCGGTCAAGAGGGCCTCGAAGGCGGCGGCGGCAAAGGCGGCGAAGGGAGCCGGAGCAGCGGCGGTAGTGGCGGCAGCCGGCCTCCCCGAGCGCCCATCTCCGCCTCAGGACAGCCCAGCCGAGCCTGGCTGCCGCGCTCTCGCTGGCTGGCTGGCTGACTCACTGACTGACTGAGGGAAACCGCCGGCCGGCTCGCCGCAACGCGCAGGCGCCGACTGCCTTAGGCTCCTCCCCCTCCGCCCCCCGCCAACCAATCCCCGCCGCCGCGCCCGCCTCCTGAAAGGGGAGGCCTCATTATCGGGGGCGGGGCAAAGAACCCCGCGAGCCCCGCCCAGCTCCAGCTGAGCTCCGCCCCCTCTATGAATATTCATCAAGGGACGCTTATTATGCAGATGGGGCCACACTCCTGAGACCCTGGAAAGGCATTGCTTGAGGCTCAGGCGTCGGCGGTGTCCGGGAGGGCTTTTGCACAACTGAGACTCGTGCGCCAACTGCGACCGTACCTCGCGAAGGCGGATCTGGCCGGGGTGGTCCATGCCTTGGTCACCTCTAGGTTGGACTACTGTAATGCGCTCTATGTGGGGCTGCCCTTGAAAACGGCTTGGAAATCCAACTGGTCCAACGAGCAGCGGCCAGGATGTTAACTGGGGCCCCTTACAGAGAGAGGTCAACCCTCCTGTTCAAGGAGCTCCACTGGCTGCCGTTCATTTTCCGAGCCCAATTCAAGGTGCAGGTGCTCACCTACAAAGCCCTGAACGGCTTGGGACCCGCCTACCTGCGTGACCGCATCTCTGTATACGAACCCACACGATCTCCTCGTTCATCTGGAAAGGCCCTACTCATGATCCCACCTTCATTGCAAGCGCGATTGGTGGGGACTCGAGACAGGGCCTTTTCCGTGGTGGCCCCCCTGTCTCTGGAACACCCTCCCCAAAGATCTCAGACAGGCCCCGACATTGGCTGTCTTCAGAAAGAACTTGAAGACCTGGCTGAATAGGAAATCTCCAATACCAAGTCCCAGAAGCACTTTAGTAGAACTAAGATTGCCGCACACTGCACACTGCACTTGCCCTATAATTCTTACATATCACCTGTCACATCAGCACTTTTAATTCTGTACCCTTTACTTGTTTATTGCTTGTTGTTAATATTGCTTTAACTGTTTTTAATTTGCTTTAGGTGTTGTATTGTTGTGTTGTGTTTTGAGGCCTTGGCCTTTGTAAGCCGCATCGAGTCCTTCAGGAGATGCTAGTGGGCTACAAATAAAGTTATATATATATATATGGAACCATGGGAGTTGTAGTTCTGTATAGGATCGCTGCCAGTCTTGCTCTGCCAAGGAATTAAATCCTCAAAGAGAATGATTCACACAAAAAACAACAACAACAAAATAATAAGTATTCACAAAATAATTGCAAAAATATGCAATTTTTAAAAAAAATAATCCAAAATATTCACAAAACATCAAAATAATAATAAAAAACAAAATAATTGCAAAAATATTCCAAAAATTGAAGAACAATGAAAATAAATATTCAGAAAAATAAGAAATAATAATAATAATAATAATATTCACCAAAATAATTGCAAAAAAATTCCAAAAAATCAAAATAATCACAAAACATCAAAATAACAATAAAAAACTAAATATTGCAAAAATATTCCAAAAATCAAAATAATGATAATAAATATTAATAAATGTAAGAAATAATAATAATATTCACCAAAATAATCACAAAAGTAATCGCAAAACATAATAATAATAAAACACAAAATAATTGCAAAAATATTTCAAAAAATCAAAATAATCCAAAATAATCACAAAACATTAACATAATAAAAAACAAAATAATTGCAAAAATATTCCAAAAATGGAAAAACAACAATATTCAGAAAAATAAGAAATAATAATAATAATATTCACCAATATAATCACCAAAAAATATTCACAAAACATCATCATAATAAAAAGAAACAAAATAATTGCAAAAATATTCCAAAAAATCAAAATAATCACAAAACATCAAAATAACAATAAAAAACTAAATAATTGCAAAAATATTCCAAAAATCAAAATAATGATAATAAATATTAATAAATGTAAGAAATAATAATAATAAATATTCACCAAAATAATCACAAAAGTAATCGCAAAAATCAAAATAACAATAATAAAATATTCACAAAAATAATAGAAATATTAGCAAAAAATCAAATCAGCAATAATAAATATTCACAAAATTGCAAAAATGTGTATGTCTGTATGCAGGGCTCAGATGCAACCACAAGAGAGCAGTGTGTAAATAGAAAGAACTGATCTAGGCCTGAGTGAATAGAGAGGGGGGCAAGCGACAGATCCACCTTGTCTCCTGTGCTAAGACCTGGCCCTTGAGCACACAAGTTGGAGGTCAGCTGTGGCCAGCAGTGCTGTAGGATTTGAAGAGGCACGAATGGAGGGCAAAAGAGAGAAGCGTGCCAAGAGGAAGCCAACCTCAACTGGGACCACCTTCCACCTGGATACCGATGCCCTCACCGTGGGAGAACATGCGGATCAAGAATAGAGCTCCACAGTCACCTATGGACCCACCGCCAGGACACCAATCTTGGAAGACAATCCTACTCGGACAACGAGGGATCGCCTAAGTAAGTGATAATATAATGTAATGTAATATAATATATTGTATATACATATATAATACTTATAATGTTACATGCAATACAATATACTACTACTAATAATATGATATTATAATTATTTATTTTATATTACCACTTTGAGTCCCCCCAGGGGTGACAAAGGCGGTATATAAATACTGTAAATAAATAAATTCAAAATAAATATTACATGTAATATTACTAATAATACTGCAATATAATAATATAGTACAATACAGTACAGCGCCAGAGAAATATTACATGTAATATTACTAATATTACTACAATATAATAATACAGTACAATACAGTACAGCTCCCAAAGTGACCCATTTAAGGTGGAATCGGGTGTCAAACGGGGGATGTGTTATTGCCCCAACTTTATTCTCCATCTTCATCACTATGATACTTCACCTTGTTGATGGGAAGCTTCCCACCGGAGTGGAAATCATCTCTCGGACAGATGGCAAGCTATTCAACCTCAGCAGACTGAAAGCCAAAACCAAGGTTACAACAACATCTGTTATAGAACTCCAGTATGCTGATGACAATGTCGTCTGTGCGCATTCAGAAGAAGATCTACAAGCCACTCTAAACACCTTTGCAGAAGCATACACGAAGCTTGGCCTGTCACTGAACATCGAGAAAACCAAAGCGCTTTTCCAGCAGTCACCAGCCATCCCCTCCCCAATGCCAGAGATACAGCTTAATGGTGTCACATTAGAAAATGTGGACCATTTCCGCTCCCTTGGCAGCCACCTCTCCACCAAAGTCAACATCGACGCCGAAATACAACACTGCCTGAGCTCTGCAAGTGCAGCATTTTCCCGAATGAAGCAGAGAATGTTTGAGGACCGGGACATCCGTAGGGATACCAAGGTGCTTGTCTATAAAGCTATTCCTCTCCCAACCCTGCTCTATGCCTGCGAGATGTGGACTGTCTACAGACATCACATGCAACTCCTAGAACGATTCCATCAGTGCTGCCTCTGGAAAATCCTGCAAATCTCCTGGGAAGACAAGCGGACAAACGTCAGCGTGCTGGAAGAAGCAAAGACCACCAGCATTGAAGCGATGGTCCTCCAACATCAACTCCGCTGGGCCGGCCACGTTGTCCGGATGCCTCGACCACCGTCTCCCAAGGCAGTTGCTCTACTCTGAACTCAAGAACGGAAAACGTGGGCAGGAAAAGAGATTTAAAGATGGGCTCATAGACACTGGGAACTGGGAAGCCCTGGCCCTTGAGCGCTCCAGCTGGAGGTCAGCTGTGACCAGCAGTGCTGCAGAATTCGAGGAGGCACGAGTGGAGGGTGAAAGGGAGAAGCATGCCAGGAGGAAGGCGCGTCAAGCCAACCCCGACCGGGACCGCCTTCCGTCTGGAAACCAATGCTCGCACTGCGGGAGAAGATGCCGGTCAAGAAGAGGGCTCCACAACCACATGCGGACCCACAAGGAAACCCATGATGGAAGACCATCTTACTCGTCCAACGAGGGATCGCCTAAGTAAGTAAGTAAGTAACAGTACAATATAGTAAAATATAATACTGATATTGTACTATGCTATTTATATAATATAATATAAATATATATCTTGTAAGCCGCTCTGAGTCTGAGAAAGGCGGCATATAAATGTCTTAAATAAAATAAATCAATAGCTTCTGGTCTGTTTATTTCTATATGCAGAGCTCAGATGCAACCACAAGGGGGCAGTGCGTAAATAGAAATGACCATTTGTGCCTGTATGCAGGGCTCGGATGCAACCACAAGATGGCAGTAGACAGATAGAAAAAACTAGCCTGGGCAAACTTTGGCCCTCCAGGGGTTTTGGGACTCCAACTCAATCCTAACAGCCTACCGGCTGTTAGGAATGGTGGGAGTTGGAGTCCAAAACCCTCTGGGAGGGCCAAAGTTTGCCCAAGTCTGGTGCAGATGCCCTCCAGAGAACATAAAACAATGGCTGCAGGGTGGCCCCGCCCCCTCCGCCTCGTGGCCCCGCCCCCTCCTGGTGGCCCCGCCCCCTCTGCCCGGGTGAGTGGCATCCAGCGGCGCTTGGGCAGAGCGAGGCAGGAGCCCAAGGCGAGCGGACGGGCTTCGGGGTCCTACTGCCGCCGGCTTCATGGCTCTGCTTGGCGTTCTCCTCGCCTCCTGGCTGCTCTTCTTCCTTCGGGGTCCGGCACAAGGTGCCCACAAGGTAGGAGAGGGGATGCAACTGGAGGACAACAAGTCCCAGAATCCCTATCCTTCCCTTCTTTCTCCTCACCTTCCTATTCCTCGTTCTTCTATTCTGTATGATCTTTTTTTCCCTCCTTCTCTTCCTCTTTTTCCTCTTCTTCTTCCTCCTCTTCTTTTTCTTCTTCTCCTCTTCCCCCCTCTTTTTCTTCCTTCCTTTCCTTCCTCCTTTTCCTCTCTTCTTCTTCCTCGTCTTTTCCTTTTCCTTTCCTCTTTCTTTTCTCCTTTTCCCTTCTTCTTTTCCTCTCTTCTTCCTCCTTTTCCTTCTTCCTCCTTTCCTCCTTCTTCTTTTCCTTCTTCTTCCTTTCTTTCTCTTCCTTTCCCTCTTTTTCCTCCTTTTCCTCTTCTTCTTTTCCTCTCTTCTTCCTCCTCTTATTTTTCTTCCTCCTCTACCTTCTTTTCATCTTCTCCTTTTCTTCCTCCTCTTCCATACCATCTTCTTCCCCTCGTTCTCAACTTCCCCTTCTCTTCCTCGTCCTCTTTTTCTTCCCTCCTCCTTCTCCTCTTCCCCTTCTTTTTCTCCTTTTCCTCCTCCTCTCTCCCTCCTCTTTTTCCTCCTTCTCATCTTCCCCTTCTCTGTCTCCTTTCCCTTTCCCTCTCATTCTTCCTCTTCTTCCTCCTTTTCACCATTTTCCTCCTCCTCCTATTCTGTATCCTTCTCCTCTCCTTTTCCTTCCCACTCATTCTCTTCCCGCCTTCTCTTACTTCCTCTTCCTCCTTCTCCCCACCTTCCCCCTTCTCCATACTTTTCTCCTTGTTACCTCCTCCTCTCCTCCTCCTGTTCTTTTTCCTCCTTCTCCTCTTCTTTTCATCTTCTTTTCCCTCCTCCTTCCCTTCATTTTCTCCACCTATCACCAGGGTGATATTTGGAATCAACCCCACACTGCTCAAGTTTGTAGTCCTCCATGAGGAACAGTTAGTTAGTTCCAGGCAGTTCAAACCCAGGGAGCGAGATGAGCTCCGATCTGTCAGCTTCCCATATGGGAACACAAGAGAAGACTCCCACAGGATGCTAACACACCTGGATGTACCCTGGGAAACGTTCATGCAGACGGCAAATTCCAGTCGGACGTGAGAGAAGCCTCCCACAGGATGGTAACACATCTGGGTGAGCCCTGGGCAATGTCCCTGCAGACAGCCAATTCCCATTTGTCCGCTCCCTTCCCTTGCAGTGACATGAAAGAAGCCTCCCACATGATTAGACCACACCTGGAATATTGTGTCCAATTCTGGGCACCACAATTGAGGAGAGATATTGTCTAGAGGAGGGCGGCAACTCAAATGATCAAGGGTCTGGAGAACAAGTCCTATGAGGAGCGGCTTAAGGAGCTGGGCATGTTTAACCTGAAGAAGAGAAGGTTGAGAGGAGACATGATGAGAGCCATGTATAAATATGTGAGAGGAAGCCACAGGGAGGAGGAGGGAGCAAGCTTGTTTTCTGCTTCCCTGGAGACTAGGACGCAAGGGAGCAATGGCTTCAAACTACAAGAGAGGAGATTCCACCTGAACATGAGGAAGAACTTCCTGACTGTGAGAGCCGTTCAGCAGTGGAACTCTCTGCCCCGGAGTGTGGTGGAGGCTCCTTCTTTGGAAGCTTTTAAACAGAGGCTGGATGGCCATCTGTCAGGGGTGATTTGAATGCAATATTCCTGCTTCTTGGCAGAATGGGGTTGGACTGGAGGATGGCCCAGGAGGTCTCTTCCAACTCTTTGATTCTATGATTCTATGATGGTAACACATTCGGACGTCTCGTGGGCAACGTCCCTGCAGACGGCCAATTCCCGCTTGCCAGCTCCAGCTTCCTGTGCAGGGACATGAGAAAAGCCTCCCACAGGATGGTAACACATCCGGGCATCCCGTGGGCAACGTCCCTGCAGACAGCAAATTCCCATGTATTAGCTCCAGCTTCCCATGCAGGGACATGAGAGAAGCCTCCCACAGGGTGATCTATTTACATAGATCCAAACCAGGGCGATAAATTTACATGCAGATCCAAACCAGGGCAATATACTTACAAACCAGGGTGATATATTTACATGCAGATCTGAACCAGGGCGATATATTTACATGCAGATCTAAACCAGGGCAATATATTTACATGCAGATCCAAACCAGCGCGATATATTTACATGCAAATCTGAACCAGGGCGAAGTTTACATGCAGATCCAAACCAGGATGATTTATTTACATGCAGATCCAAACCTGGGCGATATATTTACTTGCAGATCCGAACCAGGGCGATATATTTACATGCAGATACAAGCCAGGATGCTAGATTTACAAGCAGCTGGACCCAAATGCAAGGAAAGCATGATTGGGAAGTGATGGGATGTGCAGCTGGTGACAAACGAGACCCGCGTCGCTCATATTTGTTTATTCGGAGGTTAGACAACAGTGGGTGCCTCAATGTTTTCCTTCGTTTTGTTCCCAAGTGAGGCGCCGGACAAAGCATTCACGCAGTCGGAAAATCTGCTTTAATGAAGCCCTCCTCGCCAGTGCCACCGGGCAGAGGATGGCAAGGCCGTGCGGCCATTCGTGGGGCCGTGGATGATGGGAACGGATGCCTGTACTGTCCAGCCCAGTGCAGAGCTGGCCCCAGTCCTTCCTAAGCGTTTCTCAATCGGATGAGGCTGACTCACCCCATGGCTTTCTGGGGACGCATTAATCCTTGGTTTCCATTCCTTGCCCGACCGAGGAAGGCGTGCCATCCGCCCACGCAGGGCCCGAGTGCGAGGAAGCGCACCCCCTTCCACTCACCCCTCCTCTGTGCTTTCGGGCGCCGTTTCATGGGTGAAAGCAAAGGCGGGTGTGTTCATGTGTAGACATGCTTCCAATAAGTCCTCCTCCAGTTGGAAGAGACCCCAAGGGCCATCCGATCCAAACTTTTTCTGCTGTGCTGGAGCACGCATTCGAATCCCTCCTGACAGATGGCTATTCAGACTCTATTTTTCAAGGCACTGCCCAACAGCCCTTAGAGTCAGGAAGTCCTTCTGAATGTTTAGGTGGAATCTCTTTTCCTGTCGTTAAATGCATTGTGTCTTTGGCAGCAGCAAACAAGCCTTTCCCCTCCTCGATGTGGCCTCCTTTCAAATATCTCAACATGGCTCCCAAAGTAGGCTGCTAGGAATTGTGGAAGTCCAAAACCCCTGGAGGGCCTACGTTTGCCCAGGCCTAGACTAGATGTTCATGGACTACAACTCCCAGCATCCGTCACTGTGCTGGCTAAGGGCTGCAGTCCCAACCCTAAGACAGAACCAGTGCAAATCAGTCAGCAAGGGATGCCGAAAACCAATACAGATGTGACATTGCAGTGGGGTGTCGTCTTCTAGAGGTTTTGAAGCAGGGGACAGATGGTCATCTGTCAGGAGTGCTTTGCTTGTATCCCCAGCGCAGGGCTTCCCTCCATCAAGACATTACCCTTCTCTTGATGGAGCCTATAACTCCATTGGCCTTTTAAGCTGCCGCATCACACTGTTGGCAGCAGCAGAGGCCAGATGGCCATCGGTCAGGAGTGCTTTGCTTGTATCTCTAGTGCAGGGCTTCCCTCCATTGGGACACTATCTTTCTCTTGATGCAGCCCATAACTACGTTGGCCTTTTTAGCTGCCGCATCACGCTGTTGGCAGCTGCAGAGGTTGAATGGCCATCTGTCAGKAGTGCTTYGATTGTGTCTCCAGTGCAGAGCTTCCCTCCATGGGGGCATTACCCTTCTCTTGATGCAGCCCATAACTRCAYTGGCCTTTTAAGCAGCCRCATCACGCTGTTGGCAGTGGCATAGGCTGGATGACCATCTATCAGGAGTGCTTTRATTGTGTCTCCAGTGCAGGGCTTCCCTCCATTGGGACACTACCCTTCTCTTGATGCAGMCCATAACTGCAYTGGCCTTTTWAGCTGCCGCATCACAGTGTTGGGAGCAGCAGAGGCTGRATGGCCATCTGTCAGGAGTGCTTTGCTTGTGTCTCCAGTGCAGGGATTCCTTCCATCGAGACATTACCCTTCTCTTGATGCAGCCCATAACTACATTGGCCTTTTTAGCTGCTGCATCACGCTGTTGGCTCATGCTCGTCTTGTGGTCTAAACTCCATATGGACTGTGTACAAGCCATCCTTGGATGTGAAATCCTTTCATGGTGCCGGCCACCCCAGGAGATGCGCCTGGCATGCTTCAAGCCAAAGCAAGAGATCTTTTCCTTCTTTTACCTAATGAGCCTGACTCCGTTGTTTGTTTCCCAAACTTTCCCTGAGCCTTCCCCTTTGGCCTCTGTGCCCAAAGAGTGTCGCGGGGCCCTTTTGGCAGGGCCACCATCGGCAAGGAAAGGTCTCCGGAGCATTCATCCCACAAAGGACACACAAAAGCGGGAGCCGGCCGCCTATTCTGCTTGTCCTGCCCTGAACCGCTAGGTATTGGAGCTGATGACAGGCACAAGCCAACCAATTGCCGCTGGCTTCGAGCCACATTGGAAGAAACGGGGATTTCACAGAGACCATGAAGAAGAAAAGGACCGTTTGGTCGGGAGGAGAATTTGTATTCGACGGCATTGCTCTCCTTCTGCCTCCCCAGAACTGCATCCCTGGGAAAACTGAAACCGGTACCTCTTGAGTCATTGACTCTGTATAGATGAGGCAGATTTGCTCCCGGAAACAGGCAAAAATCACAATTTACACTCAACTGAAAGGCCCGGCAGAGCTAGACCAACTTTCCCAGTGTTTCCTCCATCCAGAGTTTGCACAGCGGATTCCTCGCCAGCATTTCGTGGTTTGCTTAGGCCACTTCCAGGCAAAGAAAACTAACTTCTGACGGCCTGACTTCCCACAGATTTGTCTTTTCAGGGCATCCTGGAAAGCAAAGGTCAACCATTCACTTGAAGGCCCTGGACTTAGAGGGACTGTTTGGTTTCTGTTGTTGTGGAAGCCTTTCCCAAACTCTGGGAAAGTTTCTTTCCAGGACTCAAAAGGCAGGATTCGGAATTCAGATTGAAGTCGAAAGTTTTCCTAATCTGGAGATGTAGCGGTGTCTGCCTGCCTCTTGTCTCCACAAAGGATGCTAACGGCAGTCTCTGAGGATGTAACACGAGCATCTGCTTATCCGATTTCGTTGGATTCATTTCAATTGGTGAAACCTGAGGATGTGGACAAGATACTTGGAGGAATGAGGGCAACCACATGCATCCTAGACCCCTGCCCATCCTGGCTTCTGAAGGAGGCCAGAGGGGGATTGGCCGAGTGGGTGAAGGTGGTGGTTAATGCCTCCCTTCGGGAAGGCAAATTCCAGCCAGCTTAAAGCAAGCTGTAATAAAACCGCTGTTGAAAAAACCATCACTGGACCCCACTCAATTCGTCAACTATCGGCCTGTTTCCAATCTCCCCTTTTTGGGCAAAGTCATGGAACGTGTGGTGGCCTCACAACTCCAGGCATTCTTGGTAGACACGGATTATCTGGATCCGGCACCGTCTGGCTTTAGGCCGGGGCATGGTACCGAGACAGCCTTGGTCGCCTTAGTGGATGATCTGCGTCGGGAGCTCGACAGGGGGAGTGTGTCCCTGTTGGTGCTGCTGGACCTCTCAGCGGCCTTCGATACCGTCGACCACGGTATCCTTCTGGGACGCCTCGCGGGGATGGGTCTTGGAGGTACTGTTTTGCAGTGGCTCCGCTCATTCCTCGAGGGTCGGTCTCAGAAGGTGTTACTGGGAGACTCCTGTTCAACCCCACAACCTTTGTCTTGTGGGGTTCCTCAGGGTTCAATATTGTCTCCCATGTTGTTCAACATCTACATGAAGCCGCTGGGTGAGATCATCCGGAGTTTCGGGGTGCGATGTCATTTGTACGCAGATGATGTTCAACTCTGTCACTCCTTCCCACCTGTCACTAAGGAGGCTGTCGAGGTCCTGAACCGGTGCTTGGCCGCTGTGACGGTCTGGATGGGGGCGAACAAATTGAAATTGAATCCAGACAAGACAGAGGTACTCCTGGTCAGTCGCAAGGCCGAACAGGGTATAGGGTTACAGCCTGTGTTGGATGGGGTCGCACTCCCCCTGAAGACGCAGGTTCGCAGTTTGGGTGTGATCCTGGACTCATCGCTGAGCCTGGAACCCCAGGTTTCGGCGGTGACCAGGGGAGCATTCGCACAGTTAAAACTCGTGCGCCAACTGCGCCCGTACCTTGGGAAGTCTGACTTGGCCACGGTAGTCCACGCTCTGGTTACATCCCGTTTAGACTACTGCAACGCTCTCTACGTGGGGTTGCCTTTGAAGACGGCTCGGAAGCTCCAATTAGTCCAACGGTCGGCAGCCATGATACTAACTGGAGCGGAGCGCAGGGAGCACACAACTCCTCTGCTGCACCAGCTCCACTGGCTGCCGATTTGCTACCGGGCTCAATTCAAAGTGCTGGCGTTGGCCTTTAAAGCCCTAAACGGTTCTGGCCCAACCTACCTATCCGAACGTATCTCGGCCTATCAGCCCACCAGGACCCTAAGATCTTCTGGGGAGGCCTTGCTCTCTATCCCGCCTGCTTCACAGGTGCGGCTGGCGGGGACGAGAGACAGGGCCTTTTCTGTGGTGGCCCCTCGGCTCTGGAACGCCCTTCCCATGGAGGTAAGATCAGCCTCCTCGCTGATGGTATTCCGAAGAAGACTAAAAACTTGGATGTTCAAGCAGGCATTTGGCTAATTCGGTGCAATGAATGTGTTGATTATGGATTGGTAATATGGATGATGCAATTGGACCACGATTTTAGTTAGGAGATGTATTGGATTGTGATTTCGTGTAATATTGTGTATTATGTTTTTTATGGTTTTAATTGTATACTGTGCACTGTATATTTTGTTGTAAACCGCGTTGAGTCGCCAATTAGGCTGAGAAACGGCGGTATACAAGGACAGTAAATAAATAAATAAATAATGTGTGGGCAGCATCCTGCCACCTGGTCCGTTGTGCCAAATGCTACCGCTCAATCTCTTGGCTTGGCGAGGGCTTCCCTTGCATAGCCTGGCCCATATGGTTCCTGTTTAAGGAAGCCGTTTCCAAAACACTCCGTTGTTGAGTTTCATCTCGTCTATATTTGGGGGCAGGGGCGAGACCTGTGTGGCCACAAGGCCCCTTTTCTGCCAGGCAAAGTTTCCTCTTGTGGCTCTACGAAGACTCCTAGATCCCTTTCAGATGTCCAATGTCTTCTTCCTTTGCAGGTCTTTGGCGACACCGACCAGGTGCGCATGACCTCCGAAGGCTCCGACTGCCGCTGCAAGTGCATCCTGCGCCCGCTCAGCAAAGACGCCTGCAGCCGCCTGAAGGAGGGCAGCGTCCGGGTGGAGGACTTCTACACCGTGGAGACGGTCAGCTCCGGGGGCGACTGCCGCTGCTCCTGCACGGCCCCGCCAACCTCCCTCAACCCCTGCGAGAACGAGTGGAAGATGGAGAAGCTGAAGAAGCAGGCCCCCGAGCTCCTCAAGGTAGGCACGGCCTTTTCTGGTGGCGGACGCAGGTGCCATAGATGTGGGTATGGTCAGGAGTCTCCCAGAACACCTGGTGGAAGAACTAGACAGATCAACAGATGGGTGGATGGATAGGTTATTGAAAGGAGAAGAAACAGCATACGAGGGTAAGTAGGACAATACACCTCAAGTCTCTGTAGGTTGGCTCATGGGTTGTTGTTGTTCTTGTGTTGCCCCTGAAGCTGCAGTCCATGGTCGACCTGCTGGAGGGAACGCTCTACAGTATGGACATGATGAAGGTCCATTCATACATCAACAAGGTGGTGGCACAGATGAACACGCTTGAGGAGGTAAGCCCGAGAAAGGGCGAAGCATGTGTGCGTGTATGTGTGTATCTACATACATATACATATACATATATGAATATGAGAATGAGAATGAGATGGGGAAGAATCCAGTCAGTTAGAGGAGATGTTTGTTAGCTCATTCAGGACTTGGGAACGTTCTGGGAGTTGTAATCCAAACCTCAGTTGCCAACATTTCTAAACTCTGGCCAGGGACTAAGTCAAGGATTTCTTTTTTCTCAGAGGAGAAGGGAAAGGGCATCATGAGATGGAAATGGATAGGTAGATAGGTGGATGGGTGGATAGATGAATAGATAGATGATAAGATTAGGTAGGTAGGTAGGTAGGTAGGTGGATGGATGGGTGGGTGGGTGGATAGATGAATAGATAGATGATAGATTTGGTAGGCAGGTAGGTAGATAGATGGATGGATGGATGGATGGATAGATGAATAGATGATAGATTAAGTAGATAGATAGATCGATAAGTGAGTGGATGGATAGATAGACTGATAATTCTCTTAGGATCATAAAGTTGGAAAGGATTCTTAAGGGACTTGTTCTTTAGACAGGAATAATCAGACTTGCAGTGTTTCCTTTTTGAGGGACTGCAGCTCCCATATTTCCTTAGTAATGTTTAGAAGATGTTTCTGGGACTCTCAAAGATTCGGAGACCTTTAGTGGCCTTTCCAAGTTTCGGGAAGAGCAGCTGTTGTGCTGGGGAGCAGCCGGGAGGGCAGAGCGGGGCCTCACGTTTCCCCATCCTCTTCCACGCCGCAGAGCATCAAGACCAACCTCAGCCGCGAGAACGACTTCATGAAGGAGAGCGTCTTGCACCTGAGCAACCAGATGAAGCGCTACGAGAACTATTCGGACATCATGATGGGCATCAAGAAAGAACTCTCCAGCCTGGGTTACCAGCTGCTGCAGAAGGATGCTGCTCCGGCCCCGGAGCACAAAGTCCAGGTTCGTCCGGTCCCCGTACCTTCTGCCTGACCCCTGCCAACTGCTAGGAATAGAAGCTTTATGCGTTGTGTCACGCCTGAGACTTAATTCTCTCCTCAACTGGTCATCTTACCCAGCATTCCTAATATCTCAGTCCCCGGTCACTTTAATTCGGACTTAGAAGGGCGAAAGCCACTGTTGCCACTGAGCAGCCGGTGCCACACACCAAACATTCCACAATTGCTTTGGAACAGCTGGGCTAACAGCTGCGGCTCATTTTCCTCCTCCTCATTGCCATTTTTGGCCAGTTGTTCTCTGACACAAGTGCCAAGAATTCAGGACTCCCAGCCATTATGGCTTAGGACTTGTTTTTTTCTTTTTGAAAGTCGTTCGGTCCAATTCCCTCTTTGGTGGAGTTCAGCGTGCTCCTCGATTGCTGGTGAACTACAAATCCCATTACCTACAACTCCAAAATATCCAGGCTAATTCCCCTCAAAACTCACCAGCATTTGGGTATGCATGCCAATTTTTGGTCCAGACCCATCATTGTTTGGGTTCATAGTGCGCTCTGGATGGAGATGGACTACAACTCCTCTAAATCCTTCCAAAGACCTCCAGTATGTTTTGTTAGTTATGGGGTTTCTGTGCCAAGATAGTTATAGGTCCATCGTTGGTGGAGTTCAGAGTGCAGCTCTTAGATTGCAGGCGAACTATACATCCCAGGACCTACAACTCCTATAAGAAGAAGAAGAACTTTATTTTTCTACCCCGCCTCCATCTCCCCGAGGGGACTCGGGGAGGCTTACATGGGGCCAAGCCCAGGCAACATACAATTAAAAGCAGAATAATAACAAATTACAATTTAAAACAGCAAAACAATAATAAACATGTTTGGATTCTCCCCAAACCTCTCTAGTATGTTCAGTTGCTGATCAATCCCTCTGTTTGCTGTGTGTCGTAGACAAGCATGAGAAACGGTGAAGGGAGAAACACTGGGCATAGACATGCAAATTCCACACCAATGGAAAGAGTGAGAAACACTGGGATGTCTTTGGTGGAGGCAACACATAAAATCTAGGGTGTAATTGTCCCTGTACAAAAGCCTTCACTTGGGTGGGGGCCATATGGTGTTGGTGGAGGACATTGGCAGGGCTCTTGGATATGTTCATGGTGCTCACTATAACCTGCAATGTCATTGGAGGGAGGGCCATTGGTGTCTCCTGAGTAGTGGGAGCTATAGCTGTTTGTGGAAAGTGGGAACCTGTCTGTGTAAGTGGACACCCCAGCCACACACACACACACACTTCCATTTTTATTATGTGTATGTGTATGTTGTTGTCGTTTTTGTTGTTTACTTGCCTCTCCTTGCAGCTCAAGGCAAAGTACAACAGGGTTGCAACAGATAAAACACTATTAAAATACATATAATAATATACACAGAAGACCACACCAATAAAATGCAGGTGAAAACCCACAAGTTAAAATGGACTTTCGGAAGAGGTAGGCCTTCCGAATCTCTTCTGGAGGCCATTCCACAGTCTTGCCCACATCTGCCCACAACTCTTGTCCCTTGGTTGCCCAAATTCACCTGTTTGTCTCTTAGGACACATCAGGAGCCAAAGGCAAGGATGGGACTGGGAAATATTCCGGCTCTCGGAAGAGCCTGGGGGACAAATCAACGGCGAGGGCCTCCAAGGAGAAGCATCCCAAAGCTGAGAGACCGAGGAAGGAGAGCGGGAAAAGCCGCACAGCTGTGGCACAGCCGACCGCCAAGCCCAAGTCCCCAGGACATCAGCAAGCGCTCAGCCGGGGAATCACTTACTACAAGGCTGGTCATCGGGAGGAAGCGGAGGAGCTTGTGAGCAGCCGGGGTGAGTAGCACAAAGCTGGGTATGGGACCATCAAGGCATCTGTGGCATGGAATTTCAAAAAAAAGTTCAGAGTTAAGGTTGTAGTTAGTTGCTGTGGCAGAGAGAAGCTGGAGAAAGCACAGGGTGGCGGGGTGAGCATTGTGACTGTAGTGTCCACAGGGCTTTGTGTTGGCCATCCCTTGGTCTCAAGTTGCCATCACGCATGTCTTCCTTGATGGTGTCCATCTTTTCTTTGGACTTTATCCACATGGTTGCTCTCCTGCAATCTCCAAATGGAGTGCTGTACTATCTGTCTGTCCGTCCATCCATCTTCTTCTTTCTAAGCTATTTTTTCCAATGGAGGGGTTAGCATTGTGACTGTTGTTTCCACAGGGCTTTGTGTTGGGCATCCTCAGGTCTCAGGTTGCCATCATGCATGTCTTCCTTGATGGTGTCCATCTTTTCTTTGGCCTTTGTCCATGTGGTTGCTATCCTGCAATCTCCAATCTCCAGTGCTGTAGTATCTGTCTGTCTGTCTGTCTGTCTGTCCGTCCGTCCATCTTCTTTCTAAGCTATTTTCTAAGCTAGTACGCAGCTCTTTATTGCTGACTTTATCTCTTATTGTCCCACCACAGATCCTTCTTTCTTTCCATTGCTCTCTGAGTCACTGCCAGTTTTTCCTCCTCTTAACTTTGATGTCCATGTTTCAGGTGCATATAACATTGCCAATACAACTGTAGTGTTGAAAATAATAAATGACACAACTAACCATTTGGTGCCCACTTGCAACACTCCAATTCTGGAGAAACGCCTCCACCTCAACTTTGCGTATTGACAAGGCCGGTCCTGTGATTGTTGTCTGCAGAGTCTTCCATGAAGGGAGCCACCCATGAGGAACAGCACGAGGAGAGCAAAGGCTCTGAGTCCACCCACTCAGCCCAAGTGGCAGGGGAAAGCACCACAACAGCTTCCCACCCCAGTACAACCACTACCACCGCTGCCACCACTACAACCACCCAAGTGCCCAGCACCACGTCCTCACCCAGGACCAGCAGCCGAGGTCTCCCAGGCACTGGCCTGCCCATTGGAGAGCGTAGCCCCATTACTGAGCGGCCCGCAACCCCCAACCGTGGTAAGTACAAAGCCGCGACGGCTGTAGCATTGTAGGAGTGGAAACCCTAAAAAGATGTCCACAGCATTGCATTGGAGGGAGCTACAAATTGCCTAGAGAGAACATGATTTTGTGTCATATGTAGCAGCCCACGTAAATACTCCTTGAATCACAATCTCTAACCACTGCACACACGCTGACATGCATATTCTAGCACTGACATGAGTGTTTCCAAGCTAGAGGTGGGCACAGTGAGTGGTTTTACTGCCCACCGCAAGCCCCCAACTGTTCTGCCTCTGGCTTTGTAGTACGAGAGACAGAGTGTGAAGGGACTCTGGAGGCGGTGGAGGAGCCCGTCAAGCAGCACAGCTACGGGCGCAACGAAGGGGCCTGGATGAAGGACCCTGCTGCCAAGGACGACCGTATCTACGTCACCAACTACTACTACGGGAACAGCCTGGTGGAGTTCCGCAATCTGGAGAACTTCAAGCAAGGTGAGGAGGGGGCGGGGCAAGTAGCAGCAGGAGGAGAAGCTTCTCAGATGGTGGGTTGGGCTTCTGCTTGGTAGTTGTAAACATCATAGTGACCAGCAGAACGATGCCGTAAGTCAGTGGTTCTCAATTGGTGCGTCCCCAGATGTTTGGCCTTCAACTCCCAGAAATCCTAACAGCTGGTAAACTGGCTGGGATTTCTGGGAGTTGTRGGCCCAAACACCTGGGGAGAGACCCAAAGGTTGAGGACCACTGCCAAAAATGAACCCAGGGCCCTGATCCACTCAGTTCCTAGGCTGCATCATGGACCTATCAATACTTCTCAAAATGTATTGAACTAGCTGCATAAGTAGTAGCAGCTAGTTCAAAAACAGGCCCATAAATAGTAATAATAGTAATAATAATAATAATAATAATAATAATAATAATGAATTTATATTCCGCCCTCTGTCCCTGAGGAGAGGACTCAGAGCGGATTACAGTATATACACAAACACGAACATAGGCAAACATTCAATGCCTTGATGCAATGAGACAGAAATTCACAAAGGCAAAGGCTTCCCCTTTCATTTCCAGCTGCTGGAGGCAGTGCTCAATTCCAGCTGTAGGAGAGGTGTTTATCTCCATTTCTAAGCCAAGGAGCCTGCATTGTCCATAGACACCTCCTGGTCGTGTGGCTGGCATAGCTTCTTGGAGCGCCTGTTTGCATTCCTGCCAAGGCGGTGCCTATTGATTGCTCACATTTGCATGTTTTTGAACTGCTAGGATGGCAGGAGCTGGGTCTAACAGCAGGAGCTCACCCTGACCACGGATTCGAACTTCCAACCTTCAGGTCAACAGTTCAGCAGCACAAGGGTTGAACCAATTTCGCCACCGTGACCCACTGCTACATATGTTTGTAGCAGTGGGCAACCAGAAAGTGTAGGGCCCACTTTCTTCCACCTTCCAGATCTCACTCCTCTCAGTGAAACATCCAGTAATAACAGCTACTTCTAAATCAAGGTGCACCTCCCCATTACTAAAACAAGATGCACTTTCTGGAAGGTTTTATTAAAATCAAGTGCATCGGATGTTCCTACAAATGATGTGGGAGATGTTGAGGTTATCCGAGTCCACACTGCCATATAATCCAGTTCAATGTGGGTTTTATATAGCTACTTGGAAGGGGCCTCAGTGGACCTCAGAAATAGTCCTGGGGCCATACGTGGTTCAAGCGTGGTTCATCTCCTATCTTTTGTCTCAGGGCGTTGGAGCAACCTGTACAAGCTGCCCTACAACTGGATCGGGACGGGTCACGTTGTGTTCCAGGGTGCCTTCTACTACAACCGGGCCTTCACCAAGAACATCATAAAGTACGACCTGCGGCAGCGCTTTGTGGCGGCCTGGTCCATGCTGCACGATGTGGTGTACACAGACACTACCCCATGGAAGTGGCGAGGCCACTCGGACATCGATTTTGCCGTGGACGAGAGCGGCCTGTGGGTCATCTACCCTGCGACGGATTATGACTACACCCAGCAGGAAGTCATTGTAGTGAGCAAGCTGGACCCGGGAGACCTTTCGGTTCGCAAGGAGTCCACCTGGAAAACGGGCCTGAAGCGCAACTCCTACGGGAACTGCTTCCTCGTCTGTGGGATCCTTTACGCTGTGGATGAGTACAACACCAAGGAAGGCCAGGTGATCTATGCCTACGACACGCACACGGACACCGAGGCCAACCCCAAGCTCCCTTTCATCAATGAGTTTGCCTTCACCACGCAGATAGATTACAACCCGAAGGAGAAGGTCCTCTATGCTTGGGACAATGGCCACCAGGTCACCTACAGACTGCGCTTTGTGGTGTGAGAGTCTGGCCCTCCAGCGTGGTCTGTGTGCGGGTGTCCCAGCTGTTCCCTCACATCTCAGATGAAGAAAGAGCCTGGGGTCCATGAATGGACCAAACCAAAACCAATTCATGGACTGTAGAGCTGGGCATGGCTCAAGGCTAGCCATTGTTTTCTAGGCAAATAAGCTTCCATAGAGTGGGTCACTGTGTTGAAGAGCTTCCAAGGTGCTGGAGAAGGGGAAGAACAGGAGGAAGGGAAGTCTCTCATGTTAGCTCCATCTTCCCCTATTAAGCCTCTCACCTTCTTCTTCAAAGGTGTCCTCCTAGAGTGTGTGTGTATATATATACATATATGTAAGTAAGGCGTGCTGATCCGTGAGTCGAACCAAAATTCCCAGTTGAATCATATCTTTATTAGGACCAAACAAAATTGAACAGAGTTGTACAGTTTTTTGAGTTTCTCAGAACTCTGGGTAGGGCTTTCTTTCTGGTACTGCCTTCTCAGAGGAAGAGTTCTGGGCAACTTAAACACTTGCACACAACGGTTGCATTTTGACCGGCCCTAAATGACAGTATGTGTTTGGTTCGTAGCCTGGTCCAACTTGATGATGATGATGATGATGAATGAGACTTCTCTCTTTGCATTCACCTGATCCCGATTATGGGATGGGTCGCAAATTATACCATGCAGATCCCAATGTTCATATCCATATCCAGACTGTTGTGCTGACCCACAATCTATTGGCTTATCAATACAGTTACTGATAAGCTCAGAAGTAGTTGCTCTGTGCAGATAACACAAGGCATCTTTCTTATGATTGTAACAGTCCAACGTCTAAAGCATCTCTCCAGTCTGAGAGTCTAATGGAGTCTGTACATTCTAAAACGGAGTCTGAGTCCTGAACAGTCCCAGATCTGATCCCATGGTCTGCAGCCCCTCCCACAACAGAGTTAAGGAAAACTGCATACCAATACACGCGTATACAATAGCATAAGCAATCTGAATTATATACATAACAAGTAACTAGTATAGGAGGCTTGTAGACAGTTGCAATTTCCAACATGTCTATTTCATATAGGACATTATGGATAGGGAGAAAGAGGGAAACCAAAAATACCACCATATTTGATGTTGTTAAAGTCATTAAGCCTTAGGAGAGCCATTCCATCCCATAGAAATGGAGAAGAGCCCTGTACAAAAGGAGAGGAAAATGCCGTCATGGGATTGGAGCAAGGGTAGATGTCTTCACTGTGCCTGGTTGTGATCCCCAGGTTGTGCCAGTCAACTTTCTTACGATATTATTTCCAGAACCCACTTTTTGCTTGATATTCAAGCAGTGCTTCTTGTAAGTCAGAGAACGGTCCAGAGTGACTCCCAAGGATTTGGGTGTGCTGCAATGCTCCAGTGGGATTCCTTCCCATATAATCCTCAGAGCTCGAGATGCTTGTCTGTTCTTAAGATGGAAAGCACATGTCTGCATTTCAGATTAGGAATCAGCTGGATTTCTCTGTAATAGGCAGTAAAAGCACCTAAAGCTTCAGAGAGCTTCTGTTCAACAATTTCAACGCTTCCTGCATGAGTGGTGATGACACGATCATCAGCATAGATGAAACTCTCTGTCCCTTCTGGCAGTGGCTGGTCATTTGTGTGAATGTTAAACAAGGTTTGCTACTCTGCTGGTGAACATGCATGCCCAGTGTGGAACACATCTCATTGCATTAAAACAGTGGATGTGGCTCTTCATGAGACATGCCGCATTATCACAGGATGTCTACACCCTACACCTTCTCACAGCGACACCAGAGGCGCTCCAAGTGGCCAGCTTCTAGTCAAAGGAAATGTAGTGTAATGTAATGCCAAGTATTTAACATTGTTTGTGGTTTCTTAAATACATTATAACTGTATTCTCAATTTGCTTTGGACATGATAAATAAATATGGGATTGGAGCCATATGGGGAGTCCCCAAGGGTCAGATGGCAGTTCCTGACCTCCTTTCTTTTCTGTGTAACTTCTATCCAGAGCCATTTGTTGCTTTGAGCATTCCTGCCCTCCCTGCCAAAACAAGGGTTGTTGTTCCTTAAATGACATCTTCTTCTGTTGCTGATGGGGTTGAGGACACTCTGGTTGTGTTTCCCAAAACAGCTTCAACTTTGATCCCTTGCCAACATTTCTGTCCTTTCCTTGCACCATTTCACACATCTTTTTGGGCACGTGTTCTGCAGTAACGTAACATCTCCCGGTGCGCAAGTTGTGTCCAAAGGCCAGCTGCAGTCAGTTGAAATGTCTCTCAATCAAGCAAAGCTTTTCCAGATGATTTACGGCCCTCTTTTTCCTTTTGGAAAACAACCCGTGTTTTTCACAGCCCCCTTGAGAAGTGGGAGGGGAGGAAATGACTTGGAAGCACGAAGAAACGCCTCCAAACGGAAACCCAAAAAGCTTCAGCAAGAAAGAAGCCCCGATTTGGTGTGGCTTCCTGTTGCAGCCCTTCTAGGCTTTGGCTCATCAGAGCCGGCTCTTACTTTAGCCAAAATAAGTCAACCGCCGCAAGTGGCAAATTCCTTGGAAGCAATGGGTCGCCGGAGTGAAAACTAGAGCGGGCTCCTCTGCCCTTTATGGTTGTGGTGGTGAACATTTCAATAGAAAGCAAACAACACCTACTGACGAAGGCTTCCATGGCCAGGATCACTGGGTTGTTGTAGGTTTTTCCGGCTGTGCGGCCATGTTCTAGAAGCATTTTCTTCTGACGTTTCTCCTGCATCAGAGGTTGTGAGAGGAATATGTGAGAGGAAGCCACAGGGAGGAGGGAGCAAGCTTGTTTTCTGCTTCCCTGGAGACTAGGACGCAAGGGAGCAATGGCTTCAAACTACAAGAGAGGAGATTTCATCTGAACATGAGGAAGAACTTCCTGACTGTGAGAGCCATTCAGCAGTGGAACTCTCTGCCCCGGAGTGTGTGTGGTAGAGGCTCCTTCTTTGGAAGCTTTTAAACAGAGGCTGGATGGCCATCTGTCAGGGGTGATTTGAATGCAATATTCCTGCTTCTTGGCAGAATGGGGGTGGACTGGATGATGGCCCAGGAGGTCTCTTCCAACTCTTTGATTCTATGATTTTATGAGGATGCCTGCCATAGATGCAGGAGAAACGTCAGGAGAAAATACTTTCAGAACATGGCCATACATCCCAAAAAACCTACAACAACCCAACACCTACTGAAATTCTCCCTTCTACACAATCAGGTTAGGAGCTTTCTCCATTCCTCATTATCAGGGGGGGAAAATCTGTAATACAAGCTTGGAAAGGATAGCAAGGTGTGGAAGAGAGAGTTGCATACAAAGCGTGGCCAAATTCCTTTTTGGAACTCCCAAAAATGAATCTCTTCTTTAGTGGTAAATATCCACTAGCATTCATGCAAGGCGAATTAGCCTTCTCGGTTGTTAGACTGATATACCTGGTTATCTCTTTGAACTGCTAGGAACAAAGATTATGCCAATGCACAAAACTTATAACAGATCTTCAGAAGTGTTATTTCAGTTGCCCAAAAACATCTCTCAAGAGACAAAAATCATGCTCCCAAGAGACAAAATTAATAGTTTTCGATAAAACATAGTTGATTTACTTACTAACTTCATGCACTTAGCGTACAGGTACTTATCTGCTGAAAGTGTAAAAAGTAAGTTCTCTAAGGCCTTCTGTTGCAGTCTCTTTTCTGCCTTATGTCTAATGCATAACAAACACTGGCAATACAATACAATACAATACAATACACAATATTGACTGGCCCTGACTACCAAAAATGGAATCTCAGTCTGAATAGTCCCAGATCTGGTCACGTGGTCTGCAGACCCTCCCACAATCTCAAACAACAGAGTTAAGAGAAAACTGCATACCAATACACACACACACATATATAAATACAGTAAGCAATCTAAGTTATATACACAACAACTATGTATGCTGTTATGTAGGCTTGAAGAAGGTTGCTATTTCCAACACCTCTTGACACAGTTGTGTTTCTGCTTGGAAGAGGAGCAAGGGATCTCTTTGTGTATGTGCTCCTTTCTTTCTTTCTTTCTTTCTTTCTTTCTTTCTTTCTTTCTTTCTTTCTTTCTTTCTTTCTTTTTCTTTCTCTCTTCACCCTTCCCCTTTTCCTCCAGGGAAAGAAAATGAACGCTGGACTTTGGCACGGAGACAATGTTGGGTTGTGTAAATGTATGGGAATTTGGCATTGCTCACGGCTTAATGCTGGGGTTGGGCGTAAAGCTAAATGATACCCCACAGAGAGAAAGCGGCCAGAGGATTTGATATTATACAGCTGGGTAGACGGCCTGGGGAGGGTCCGGTGGGCGGCTCTATCGGACCCAATGCATATCTCATGTTCCGGCTCCTATTCTCCCTCAAAGCATTCCCACATGTTCGGTCAAGCTAACAGTCAAGCTGTGTATTGAACGTTTGGTCTCTTCACCATGCTGTGTGCCTTCCATAAGGACTAGAAACATTGCAACGCTGGCATCCTCGGGATCCGGCCTCAACACAAGGCTTGGGCAAGAGACAACCATGTCAATCACTGCTGTTAAGGATTCCCCCTATTTTGATATTTTCCTCATCTGCAGCCATTGCTGATGCCAAAGAGGAGCTAGGAGAGTGGGAGTTTCTGCATGATTATACTAATCTCACTTCCATCTGTCTGAAAATGAATTAAAATTTAATTCTATAAAATTTTATTCAGGAGTTCTCCGTTGATTTGCCATCACTCTGTAAAGCAGCGTTTCTCAACCTAGGTGTCGGGACCCCTGGGGGGTCGCAAGGGGGGGTGTCAGAGGGGTCGCCAAAGACCATCTGAAAACACAGTATTTTCTGTTAGTCATGGAGCTTCTGTGTTGAAGTTTGGCCCAATTCTAACATTGGTGTGGTTCAGCATGCCCTTTGATTGTAGGTGAACTATAAATCCCAGCAACTACAACTCGCAAATGTCAAGGTCTGTTTTCCCCAAACTCTACCAGTGTTCATATTTGGGCATATTGAGTATTCGTGCCAAGTTTGGTCCAGATCCATCATTGTCTGAGTCCACAGTGTTCTCTGGATGCAGGTGAACTACAACTCCAAAACTCAAGGTCAATGCCCACCAAACCTTTCCAGTATTTTCTATTGGTTGTGGGAGTTGTGTGTGCCAAGTTTGGCCCAACTACATTGTTGGTGGAGTTCAGAATGCTCTTTAATTGTAGGTGAACTATAAATCTCAGCAACTTGAACTCGCAAATGACAAAATCAATCCACCTCCTGACCCCATCAATATTTAAATTTGGGCATATTGGGTATCTGTGCCAAATTTGGTCTAGCTAATGAAAATACATCCTGCGAATCAGATATTTACATTACGATTCATAACAGGAGCAAAATAACAGTTATGGAATAGCAACTAAAATAATGTTATGGTTGGGGGTCACCAACACATGAGGAACTGGATTAAGGGGTTGCGGCATTCAGAAGGTTGAGAAACACTGTTGTAGAGTGTTTACCAATTTAACAAAGTTTGTGGCACAAAAACAACCAAGTTTCTGGAGCACAACAACTACTTTCAAAGTAAGGAATACACAATTAAACAGGAAATGACACTTGCAAGCTAGGCACATCTTTTCTTTATGTTGTTGTTGTTGTTGATGATGATGATGATGATGATGATGATGATGATTATTCAGAAGCAGGATGGCCATTTGTCAGGGATAGTGCCTTTCCTGCATGGCAGGGGTTGGACTGGATAGCCCATGTGGGCTCTTCCAACTCGATTATTCCCTGGATACCAAGAGATCACAAGTGGCCCTTGGGCACACCTCATACTCAATGGGACAAACCAATGGTTAGGCTAATCGGCAAGAAATGGAAAAGAAAAGCACAGGATCGTATATTTTGGCAAATGGTAGGTTTGCATGAAGCCCTAAGGAGTGGATTGACGACAAATCAGATAGGATAGTATTAAAAACAATTCAGATCAAATCCATAAAAACATATGAAATCACAGCAGACTCTATCCAAATTCTGGGCACGCTAGGGATCCTCTGGGTGTGTTAGACTACAACACCCATTCTCCTCGACCAATGTGATGGAAGGCGTTAGAAC